AAGAAGAAGAAGAAGAAGAAGAAGAAGAAGAAGAAGAAGAAGAAGAAAAAGAAGAAGAAGAAGAAGAAGAAGAAGAAGAAGAAGTGCTACATCCAGTACTATGGGATCAACTTGTTTGGCTAAGTTGTGTATTTTAGCAAGAAGTCACTTGGTCCCAAAGCCCATGTTTTTCAAAGAATTTTGGGGTTGTTTCACTACTAAGAGAAGGCAACAATCCCAACAGGCAAGGAGAGAGAATGGAAAGAACAATTAACTAGGAGACAGAATGAGTTGAAGCCTGGACTGTCACCTACTGGCTATGTGACTTTGGAAGTGAAATTTCCTCATCTGTAAAATGGGGGTAATAATAATGATGACTTCCTTGCCTGCCTCACGGGGTTCTTATTAGGATCAAACAGGATCATGGCTCTAGGGCTAGAAGGGCCCACAGAAGTCATTTAGTACCGTACACATTTTTACTGTTGAGGAAACTGAGGCCCAGAAAGTTCAAGCGATTTACCCAAGTAAAGCGTTAAGAGGTAGGATTGGAATCAAGGTTCTCTGATAACAACAAGTTCAGGGATCTTTCCACCCCGCTGTGTGAAGAGATAGAAAGACCTTATCTTCTGTTATGTAAACGAATTAGAATCCTTTCCCTGAAATGCACAACTTTATGGGTAAATCTTTGGGGGCTATCAGAGGACATGCTGGGCCAAGGAGCTGAAAAGAAATGTGAGAAGCGCAAATTTAGAGAATCCACCCCAGATGGGCGCTCGGACTATTTGTGCCCGACCTGTGGTGGAGTATTCTGAGCCGGTATTGATCTGATCAGCTGCAGTTGGATGCACCGTAACTGGACTCCGACATAGTGATGTATTTTGGTCCTCCTTCAGGAGGAAGGACAACAACCTCAACATCAGGGTGTGTAATGGATAGAGGGCTGGGCCTAGAGCGGGGGTGGGGAACCTGCAGCCTCAAGGCCACATATGGCCCTCTAGGTCCTCAGGTGCAGTCCTTTGACTGAATCCAAGCTTCACAGAGCAAATCCCCTTCATAAAAGGGTTTGTTCTGTAAAAATTGGACTCAAGTCAAAAGGCTGCACCAAAGGACCTAGAAGGCCACATGTGGCCTTGAGGCCACAGGTTCCCTACCCCTGGCCTAGAGTCAGGAAGACCTGAGTTTAAAAACAGCCTCAGATACTTACTAGCTGTGTGACCCTGGGCTAGTCACTTCACCCTGTTTGCCTTGATTTCCTCATCTGTAAAATGAGCTGGAGAAGGAAATGGCAAACCACTCCAGAATCTTTGCCAAGAAAACCTTAAATGGGGTCATGAATAGTCAGACATAACTGAACAATAGAAAGCCTGCTTCTGATGAGCGCTGGCTGTGTGATTTTGAGCAAGTCACTTAACCGTTCGCTGTTCTAGGCAACTTTTTAGTTCCAGGTAATTTTCTAAGACTATCACTTATATTAGAAGAAGGAATTTCCTCAGAGGGAGCTCCCTATGCAATGAAATTATTATTCCCTCAGTCCTTATCCTTGGTATAATTTAAAATTCCAACAGAAAGTTAATTATTGCATGCAAGGTCATGTTTCCCTTAAATCAGGAGTTCTTAACCTGGCGCCCTAGAACTTATCTTTAAAAAAATCTCAATAACTGCATTTCAATATAATTGATTTCCCTGGGCAGCTTGTGGCACAATCCAAACTCTAGTCCTTTGACTGAATCCAAACTCTGAGGGCCACACTTGAGGACCTAGAGGGCCACATGAGGCCTCGAGGCCACAGATTCCCCACCCCTGCTCTAAATAGTCATTGAAAACTTGTTTTCTGCTATATCATTAAAGAATCTTGTATAAAATATGTTAACAAGGCTTTAAGCAATAAGCATAAAGAAAGCTTCGGTTTTAATACTTTGCATTTGCATGCTCAGAACATAGAACATATTACTGGTAAATTATACATTTCCAGATGATAAACCTACAGGAAATAAGGAAATAGAAGGCCATAGGCATTCTGTGGCATGATTCTTTCCAAGGCCATGATATGAATAAGTGGCAGTGTTGGGAACAGAATGAAGTCCTGGGGTTTTTGATTCCTGTGGTTTATAGTCCGCTCTCTCACAGGGTAATTTGTTATCCTGACATGATAGTGACTGGTCAGTCTCCTTTTCACATACCTTTTCTATTTCTGGTTCTTTGTCCCTGCTTTGCCTATTTTCCAATCTGCTCCCTTTCTCCCATGCTTTGCTGTTGTTGGTGTTTTTTTTTTCTACAGGACATTGGTTAGTGGTCAATTACAATTAGTAAAAAAAACAAACCAAAAAAACAAAAAACAACAACAACAACAACGACAACAGTAAAGAAGCAGGGGAGGGGAGAGGAAAGAAACATGCTGAGAAGGTTAAAAAAAAAACAGATTTAACATGAAGGTAATGAATCCATTTCACATGAATAGCCATGTGTAGTCAATGAACTTCCAAAACAATGAGGCACAAACAGTTCACCCAGGTAAATGAATGGGGAACAAATGTCCAAAATAGGAACTGCAATTCTCCCCAGTTTCTTGGCACCTCCCAGTTCTTACTGTTTTGAGATTGAGCTGAGCCAGTCTGGGAATACAACTAAGACGGACATACATACATAGATCAACTATGGCTTAAGAGTCTGAGCTGGATGGAAGTAGAGATGGCTGATGACTGTGGAATTCTGGTTGGTGATTCTAATAACAATAATTAACATTTATATTGTGGTTTACGTACATTTTCTCACTTGAGCCTCATATAATCCAGTGTAACAGAGTCTAGCAGCATCATTATACCCATTTCACAGATGAGGAAAGAGTGATTCAGAGAAGGTCAAAGAAGATTAAGTAACCTGCCCCAGGTCCCAGTTGGTATCAGAGGCAGGGTATGAACTCTGTCTTATCAACTTCAAATCTAGCACTACCCCATGCTGCCTCTCAGGGTAATGTCAATAAGGGAGGAAATTGATCATAGGACTCTTTGGCAGGTGGAAATTAGTTCTCAGGATAACAGGAAAAAGACAAGATACATAAAGAGTTGGGAGGAGAGTTCATAGCAATGAGAAAGTCAGTTGGACAGTCTAAACAGGTATAATGAGAATAGTATCCATTTTTCCCTCTCTGAGTTTCCCTGTGCAGGATCATTTCACTACATGGATTTTTTATGCTGGCTGAATCATATTTGTTAAATCAATTTAACAGCAAACAGACTGTGTTAACCTACAAAGTTTAAATGAGACATAACTCTTGCCCTCATGAAGCTTACAGTCTGTTACTATATTATATGGTTAATAACTCCCATTAATTAAGGAAACCTCAAGGTTTACAAAATGCTTTTCTTAAACAACAATCCTAAGAAGTAGGCAAAATGGGAATTGCTATACTCATTTTAAAGATGAGGCAGCTGGATCCCAGAGAGGTTAAGCAACCTGCTGAGGGCTATACAATATTAACTATCAGGGACTGGATTCAAACCCAGGTCTTTCCTGGCTCCAAGCCTGATGTTCCTTTCACCATACATCACAGTATTATAAATTCCTATAATATAAAATAGGACATGTTGAGTGGATATGGTTGAAACAAATAAAGTTCTATAAGGTATGTGGTTGGAGGGCTGGGACAGGATAAGGTGGAAATCATGACCCAGTGAAGAGACCCAGGGGCTTCTTGTAGAGCATGGCATTTGAGGCTATGCTCTTACCAAAATGTTCATTTGTTATGGGGAAGTTGTTAATATGAATTCTTCTTTAATACATACCAGTTAAATGTAGGGATTTATGTCACAAGGTATAATTTTATCCTTCCCCAAATATTGATGATGGGCAGCTATGTGGCACAGTGGATAGAGTACCAGCCCTAGAGTCAGGAGGACCTCAGTTCAAATTTGTCCTCAGACACTTACTAGCTGTGTGACCCTAGGCATGTCACTTAACACTGTTTGCCTCAGTTTCCTCATCTGTAAAATTAGCCGGAGAAGGAAAAGGCAAACCCCTTTTGTATCTTTGCCAAGAGAACCCCAAATGGGGTCACGGATAATCAGATAGGACTGAAATGACTCAACAACAACAACAAATATTGATGAAAATGTGTTTTCTTCAGCCATGTGCATTACAATATAACATCTGGCCTTCATCAACATACTTTTTTTCCCTCTCCCACAGCCACTTTCTATGGTTTCACTTGATTACAAATTTTGGAGAATGTCAAATTCTTTCCACTGATTAAGCAACAACTCTCCAACATTTTTTAAAAATAAATTTAGCAGCAGTACTAGAGCAACTCTAGGAAGTCAGGGGTTAACCTGTGGAATTTAGAAACACTTAATCCAAAGTAGTGACCAAATCCACACTCCTCTTTCCTGTCCCATGATTTTCTTATAGACCTAGTGGTCCATTGGGAAGCTTTCCTGAAAAGAAGTTAGAAAACAACCAAATAGGGAATGAGTTGCCTTTGAAAGTGACAATGCACAAACAATTGGTTTGGTTCTTCCTGGGTTTGATCTATTCTTTATCCAGCACAACAGAAAACTGCTTGATCACAAGCATGGAAGAAGAAAAACACACTCAATTTTCTTATCCCCAAGAGGAAATGGATGGACTGGCACAAGGGCTGCTGCAGTTTGGCATCGTGTTTAGGGAGCAGGTAAGGCAAAGCAAACAGCAAATCTGCCACATGTTTCAACAGCTGGATGCTTTTGACCGCTCTTTGGTTGAGCTGTTGAAACAAGTCAGCCGACAGGAGAGACTGAGGATTTGCCTGAAGCAGAGAGCTAGGCAACTTGAGAGGAGGGATGGAGATCTTTATCAGCTACTTGCTAAGCTCAAGAAGGAACTTGTCCGAGGAATGAAATACAGAGAAAGCTTTGACAAGAACCTAGAGCTGCTAGAGCAAAAGATTGAAGATGCCTTGTTCTATAAGGCAGGTGGGAGTACATTGATGAATGTGACTGACATTATGGTAAGAAATTTTGGGGGAATCTATGATTTCGTCAGTATGGGCAGCTCCTAGGATGGAAACATCCTGTATCAATGCAGATCAACAACTGTCCTGCAACTTATAGTTTTAGGGAGTTTAAGTAATTCACCCTGGGTCATTCAGCCAGTATGTTTCAAAGGTAGGAACTCAGATCTTTTTTGGCTTCAAGGTTATGCTGCTTCTCAATATGGTAGGCATGCTAATATTTTAAAATCAACATAATTTTAATAGGCTGTGAAAGAGGCCCTATAGAGGTACTTCTAGAATTATTCTGTTCAGAAAAGAAGAATCGTAGGTAGAGAGTAAATTGATTTTCAATTATTCAGTTATAAATTAAATTATGGTTAAATTACATGGAACATCTGTTAAGTATCTATTTGAGAGTGAGATTTTGGTTGGTAAAGAGACACTTTTTTTTAAAGAGCACCTATGATTTAATTTAAGAACACAAGATGCAGAAACTCCACCTAACTAAAGCAGGTCTATACTTGCCCTACAACTTGAGAGTCTCAGGAGAGTTGAAAGGAGCCCTGAGAGGTTAAGTAATTTGCTCCTGGTCGCACAGTCAGGAAATGAGAGAGGCAAGATGTGAATCCATGTCTTCTCAACTCTGAGGCCAACTCTCTATCCACTACAGAATACTGCTTCTTTAAACAAATATTATCCCATCACAATGCCACCTAAGCCATCTTTGTGCTATTCTTTTTTTGGGAATGCTTCTAATGCTTCTCTTTTATTGAATATCCATCTTTTTTTTTTTCATTGATCATTAGGCTCAGATTTGCAGGGCATGTGATTTTGGGCTGTATCTTGACTGCCTTTACTTTTTGGAAATAAAGTATTCTATTTCTTTTTATGGTTTCTTGTTGGTGCAGTATAGTTTTGCATTATTTGAATTTCTTTTTCTTTATTTTTGAAGGTTATTGTTCAGCCTTGTCTAACTCTGCGACCTCATTTGGGATTTTCTTGGCAAAGATACTGGAGTAGTTTGCCATTTCCTTCTCCAGCTCATTTTACAGATGAGGAAACTGAGGCAAACAGGGTTAAGTGACTTGCCCAGGGTCACAGAGTATTCCTGTCTGAATAAGTGTCTGATGCTGGATTTGAACTCAGGAAAATGAATCTTCCTGATTATAGCTCTCTCTTTCTCTCTTTGTCTCTCTCTCTCCTACACACACATATTAACATATAGATTTAGATATATACACATATCAATAAGCATTTTTTAATAGTTAGGTATATACATAATAGCACACAAATATATATCATATACATATATACATACACATCTATGCTTATATGCATACACACAAAAATACATTTATATGTATATATGAGATTTTTTCAGAACCAACTATTCTCTGTTATGTTAAATAAAGATTGTGATGAGATAGGTTTAATTGCTATAGGAGACCTTACTGTGGAGTTGTGTGAGACATTGGAAGATATTACACAGGTAGGTGATGATGGAATCTCCTTTTCTGGAAAATTTAATAAAATGGTAGACAAATATTTCCCTGGGCAGATTAAATGAGAAAGAGGTAGGTTTTGACCCATGTCTTGAAAGATAGTTAGATTTTGGTTGGACAGATGGGGAGATGAGGAAAGAGGCATAATAGGAGTAAAGGTAAAGAGATCTGGCTGGGTAGATAGGAATTTCTTTATCTGGCACACCCTTCAAGAGTATGAACATGGGCTTTCTCTTATGCTGTCATTCTTATATCTTGGGCTGTGAATGTTTTATTTGTAGACTTTGGGGATATGTTTCTGTTGGGCCTTAGGCTAAAATAATTGTTACTGATTAAAGACAGTGGAGCTCCTTCATGGCACCAGTAATCTAGAAATGAGAGGAATCCTATTTATGGAAATCTATCCATTTCTTCACATAACCATAGGCTCACTCTAAATATTTTGGCTGTTTTAAAGTCACTGTTTGTTTTTCTCTCCAGTCTCTTTTGCAAACACAAAGTGTGAGAATAAACAAGATTTTTGCCGATGTGGAAATTCAGCAAGATCAACTAAGTGAACGAGATACTTTAATTCAAAAATTACTGAAAAAGGTTGGTGGAGCTTGACAATTTTTTAAAAGGATTCTTAGGCTTTTCAGGGTAGATAAGGGATTTTAGCGGTCATCCAGTCCATCTTGTAATCTTTGGCAACTTTATGCCACCAGAATCAACATCAAGTAAATGAAAATCTATCATTTATGATATGATATCAAGTTAAAGCAAACCTGCACTACTTCATATACAATAACAAAACACACTAGGGCTGTAAGGGGCCTTAGACCCTGATGAAGAAACTGAGGCCTATTAAAGAGGTAACAGTCTCACCTCTCTTTTTTTTCCCCCTGAGGCAATTGGGGTTGACTTACCCAAGGTCACACAGCTAGTGAGTATCATGTGTCTGAGGCCAGATTTGAACTCAGGTCCTCCTATCGACTGTGCCACCTAGCTGCCCCAGTCTCACCTCTCTTCACGTCATTTTCCACACACACACACACTGACACACACACACACACAGCTGTGGAAATAATCCTCCTAAAGAACAGGTCTAACCATATCACTCAGTCCTTGGCTCAAAACCTTTCAGTGGCTCCCCACTGCCAAAGAATGAAATATCAACTCCTTAACCTGTATTTAAGTCCCTCCCCAATCTGCCCCCTCTCCAGCAGTTACCAATCTAGTCTTGTTTCATATAATTTCCTTTATAAATTCTGTATTTCAAACAAATTGGAGGGGCAGCTAGGTGGCACAGTGGATAGGAGGACCTGAGTTCAAATGTGGCCTCAGACACATAACACTTACTAGCTGTGTGACCCTGGGCAAGTCACTTAACCCCATTGCCTAGCCAAAAACAAAACAAAACAAAACAACAACAAAACAAAAACAAAAACAAAACAAAAACAAAAACAAAAAAACAACAAAAAAAAAACTTGGACTATGAGCCATTACCCAAACTTGATATTCCATTTCCCTCCCTCCATGCCTAGAATGCACTGCCTTCTCATTTCCACCCATCAGAGTTTTTGTCTTCCTTCAATTCAATTTAATAAATTGTAGACAAATAACTCTCTAGGCAGGTCAAGTGATACAAAGAAGTGGGTCTTGATTCATTCCTTGAAGAATTTTGGATATAGAGATGGAGAGGGGTACAACATGAACAAAAATAACAGAGATCTGGCCCAACAGATAGGAATTTCTTTATTTGGCACACTTTTCAAGAGGATAAAAAGAGACTTTCTCTTATATTATTTGTTTTATTATTATCTTGTTTTATTTGAAGACCTCAGGGATATGTTACTGTTGGGGCTGTACAGCTCAGGGAGCACCTTCTCCATACCCCCAATCCTCAGCTAACAATGTTTTCTCCTTCTTTAATATGGTACTTATTTTTGAACATGTTATATCTCTTCCTGTAAAAAGTAAGCTCCTCGAAGGCAGAGATCTTTCATTTTTATCTAGAAAGACAATCCAAGTGCTGTCCTAGCACTTAGATCAGTGCCATACATATAGTAGGTGGGTAATATATGTTTGTTGAATTGAATTGAACTGAAGAATTCAAAGTCACATGGCAAGGTAGGAGCAGAACTGGGACAACACTGCCCCCTAGGATGATTTTCTACATAATTACAATATACTGTCCACTTCTAAAATTTTATATAACATAATTGGGATGAGCGTTGGCTGATAATACACTTCTAGTCCACTAGGAAGTCAAAACCAAGGTGAAACAGCCTTGGAAATCCTAATAGGGTTCCACTCTGGATGACTCCCGGAGTCAGGAAGCCCTGAGTTCAAATCCAGCCTTAGAAACTTACTAGCTGGGTGACCTTGGGCAAGTCACTTAACCTTTGTTTGCCTCATTTTCCTCAGTTGTAAAATGTGTCTCATAATAGCACCTATTCCCACAGTTGTTGTGAGGATGAAATGAAATAATATTTGTGAAAGTACTTAGCACAGTTCCTGATGCATAGTAGGTACTATATAAATGCTTATTCCCATCTTTTCCCTTCCCCTAGTACTTGGGAACCCTGTTTCAGTTTAATATGTTTTCACTTTAAATGACAGATATATATAAATATTTTTAAAAAAAAAATATTCAGAGAAAGAACTGATAAATAGAAGTATGTGCAGAATAATTTTACATACATATCTATTTGTGCCTAATGGTAGCCACCTCTGGGGGGGAGAGAGAGGGAAGAAAAAAAGAAAAAAAAGAGAAATTTACATGATAATTTTGTTGTATAATTGAAAGGAAAAGCAAGTTGTGCATAGTAGATTTACAGTTTCATGTGCATTTATCTTTTTTTTATTACACTATGTTATGGAATTGATTGTTTTACTCCATAAATTAAAAATTTTTAAATAAAATAAAACAAAAATATTGAGTTATTTTACTCTATAGAAATTTTTCAATACATAGCTCAGTACACATTTTAACAAAGAAAACTAATTAAGCCAAACTGAGAGAAAATTGACATACTTTAATATTGTATAAAATATCCTGCATCTGTAGCCACCCACTCTCTACTACGAGGAATCAAGTGTGCTTCATGATCTGTTCTCCTGGACCAAAGTTGGTCATTGCATTTAATTTGAGTTCAATTGCTTTCTAGTGTTGTTTTTGATTACAATATTACATGCCATTTCAATGTGTAATAAACTTTTTTTTTACATTGTCTTCTACACTCTAGGCAAGATCGAAAAGCAAACTCACTAAGCAGTCAAGGAACAATGAAGATGAGAAGAACATGTCTGAAGTTTAGGGGAAAGAGAGGCCTCTATCTTTGTGTATTGTCCTACCCTAAATAGTTTGAGTAGATTTTAATAAAGCAATGGTCCTTGAGGGGAGCAGCAACTTCTGTCTTTCAATAAATGTCTGCTTAGTGCAATGAAATATTTTTGCAAAAATGTAGTCCTTGTATTCTGAACAGCATTGATATCTGTTTTTCATAAAATTCCAGGGGATTTAAAGACCAAATACTATGAGCATATATTTTAATGCACTTAAACAACCCAATATTTTCCCCAAATGCTACTTTAAAAAAAAACTTCCTGAAATTGAAATTATTTAGAACAAACCCAGAATCTTGTAAAAACCACATTTTAAAGAGCATTTGAAGACTCTCTGCTTTGTTTGGCTTCTCAGTTGATGGACTACAATTTGAATGTCATTTTATGTGACTTTATATAACACTACTATTAACAATAATAATTTCTATCTTTTGAATTCTTCATCTACACTTTCTAAATATGCACTCATTAAATAACAATACCCTATATAATATTTATCGAGTGCCTTTCATCATAGACACTCCACATGCTGAGCTCATTGCCACATCAATCCCGATGACATTGCTATGAGGTAGGTAAAGGATTTGCTGAAAGTTAGATCTCAGAAAAAAATCATTCTGCCCACTGAATATTGTTGAGCCTCAAGAGGGAGGCAAAAATTGCTAGGTTTTAGGAAGGACTTGGAGATTTCCATAAAATCCACTTAGCTATTTGAAGAAAAGTCAATTTATTTTAAGTTTAAATGAATCATTAATGGAAAGAAAGGAAGTATGAATAGTTTTATCACAATCAAGCTTCCCATTCAGTGGATTCCTGTGGGAAGAGCTAGGAGATGAGTAGACTGGTACTTTTGTTGCATAGTGTGATTTAAAGAGCTCCAGGAAGGGTATCTTGTCCCTAGATATCTCTCCTATATTTTTAGGCAACTATCTTGGACTATATCTGCCTTGGTAGAAGTTTCCTCACTGGGTATTCCCTGAAACAATTAAATCAGAGATCTGATCCAAAACAACATACTGTGAATAATTCCACTAATGAAGAGATTTACTCATTTTAAAGAGATTAACAAATAACCTGATTTAAAATGTGAATACCTCCAGAAGACATTAAGGAGACTGTTAGTCACTTACAATATAGTGTGAATTAAAAAAAAAAAAGCTCCTTTCTTCCTAACAACTAGCTGAGATTTATGGGCACTGTTGAAAAAGGGATTTCAAAAAAGGATGGTGGGAGAAGAGAGGAGAATGGGCCAATTATGAAGCAGATGACACTGCACATAGAAGGGTAGCCCTAGGTAGGTTTGGATGTCCCAGGGGAAGTTTCTTTTAAACAAGAAAGCTCTGGGTGGTTGGGGAGGGGGAGTACCAGCAGGTGAGAGAGAGGAAATGATGAAGAAAGGGAAGGTACAGACAAACTTCTACTCTATAATTTTTACTAGAGATGACTTTGTCTGTAAGGATTCCTGTATTTGATACAACAAACAGACAGATAAAAGGCCAAGGGTCCATTCTAAGTATGGTATTTCTTCTTTTTGTAAAGTCCAAAGTTTTTAAAAAAAGACTTAGATTCGTTCAATTATTTAAATCAATGGATTAGTAGGTACTGTTAAAGAACTTTATTACTCTAATTTCAATAAATTTAGAGAACACCTTAGCAGGCCAAGTGGAACATTTCCATGCTACCCACTTTTCTCAGTAATCCAATAACTACAGAAGACTTATCCATCTCTAATGCTCTCAAACTTTTATTAAATTGGAAAAAAAAATTGCATGTAAACATTTCTCTCCTTAAAAAAAAGTATTAAATCATTACAGGTCATGTGAGCAACAAGACAGAGGACTAAATATTTCTCTGATCCTCACAACCTTTCAAATCTTCTCCAAAATAGAAATCACACTTTTAATGCTATACCAATCTAATTACCAAGGAGATATTTTACAGGACTTGATAAAATAATAGCAAAATTAATTCGGAGAAACAAAAGATCTAGAATATCAAGGGAAGTGACAAAAAGAAGTAAAGATGAAGAAAGCATAGCACTTTCAGTCCTCAAACTGTATTATAAAGCAGCAATCATCAAAGCTATTTGGTATTGGTTAAAGAATAGAGGTAGATTCAGAAAAAAAAATAGAACTCAGTAACTTAGTGTTTGATAAAGGGGAAAACATAAACTACTTAGGGAAAAAACTCTCTATTTGATAAAAACTGCTGGGAAAACTGGAAAGCAGTCTGGCAGAAATTAGGGTTGGACTAACATTCTATACCACACTCCACAATACATTCTAAATGGATATTTGACCTTAATATTAAAGATAATACTATTTTTTAAAAAATTAGAAGTAAAACAGATCATATATTTCTCATAGCTATGGGTAGGAGATATAGTCTTAACCAAATAAGAGATAGAGGCAATTATAAAAGATAAAATAGATAACTTTGATTACTTGAAACTGAAAAGCTTCTGTACAGACAATATTGCTGCATCTAAGATAAGGGAAATGGTTAAACAGGAAAAAATATTTGTATCAAATTTCTCTAATAAGGGTTTGATATCCAAGAAATATAAATAATTAATAAATATTTATAAAATTAATAGCCATTCCCCAATAGATAGTCAAAGGATATAAACAAACAGTTCTCAAAGAAGAGCTGCAAGTTTTCACAACCACATGAAAAAATGCTCCAAATCACTAATAGTAAGAGAAAAGTAAATCAGAACAATAGGTTTCACCCCACACACTGCAAATTTTGTAAAAATGACCCAAAATAGTAACATTCAATGTTGGAGGGTCCGTGGAAAGACAGGAACACTAAATCATTGTTGCTGAAACCATGAAATAGTACAACCACTTTGGAAATCAACTTGAAATTGTGCAAATAAAGTGACTAAAAGGTCCATATCCTCTGAACTAGAGACTCCATTACTGAGCATATACACCAGGAAGCTATTGACAAGAAAAAAGTCCCCACATACTCCAAAATATTTATGGCAGCACTTTATGATAGCTAAGAATTAGAAACAAAATGGTACATGAATGTAACTCCCCCAGGGTGTGGGTCTGGATGAATGAACTGAGTTTAGACTGGAAAATGCCTGGAGGCAGGTGTTTTCTGAGTCAGAACATTAATAATCCTAGAGATTCAAAGTATTTCCTAAGGAGGCAATGCTTGCCTTGGAAGAACTTAAGTCTATTGAGTAACATTCTACTTAATAATGTAAGAAATAACTTCCTAATAATTAGAGTTACCCCAAAGCAGAATGGTCTGCCTTGGGAATTAGAGGGCTTCCCTGCCCCTTCTCCCCTCCACTCTCTAAATCATTAGAGGTCTTGAAGTAAAGGCTGGATAATCTCTTCTTGAAGATACTGTAGGGAATATTCTTATAGAGGTATATGTAACACTAAATGGCTACATAGTTCCCTTCTAAGCCAAATATTCTATAGAATCTCTAAGCTACATTTAGAGAGCATCATAATCCCTGGGGGTTTCCCCAAACTGTGCTGAGCCCACAAGGTTTTTCAAACTGTTCACTGTCTAAAATTTAGATACCCAAGGCCATTCAATCTCCTTCATCCTTGCTCTAATTTAAATGAGAGCCCCTTATTTTGCTTCAGGATCTTGGAAGGCCCCAAGCTATGCCAAAGGGTTTCCCCTGCATGCTAGTGATATCAGACAGCCCAACATTGTTTCCCAGAAGCCTTTAAAAATGAGGCAGGGTGGCACAGTGAACATGGAGTTAGGAAGACTTGGGTTCAAATAATACCTCAGAGCTGTGTGGCCCTGGGAAAGTCACTTAAAATTCTCTGTGCCTCAGTTTCCTCATCTTTAAAATGAGGGGGTTGAACTTGAAGGGCCTCTATGGTCCTTTCCAGCTCTAAATCTATGATCCTACCTTGAAGGACCCTCAAGGGTTTTCTCCCCAGTATTTTCCCAAACTATTCATTGTTTGGGACACATGGGGTATGGGTGGCAGACTTTTTCATAAACCTATTAAGAAACTGGCATGTGATGCTCAAGTCCAGGCAATACAGGAGGCAGTCATGCCAACATCTAACCCCAAACATTTTAAATCCTGTGGCTTTTTTTTTCTTTGCTGAGGTAGGCTTAAAAAAAAATTCCCTTCGGGGTTAAATATCTTGAACGTCAACCAAGGGTTGAACTGATTTTGTCTGCACACAGCAAAGTAACTTGTTGCTGGCTAGTAACCATGCCAACAGAGTGGGAGGTTGAGCAGGGAAAGTACATTTGAAAGCAGCCTTTTGCTCATGGTCTCTGGTAGTACTGAGCATCCCCAGCCTGAAGTTGCCTAGGTTTATTGTTGGCTTCATCTAGAGTTTGACATGGCCCCCAGAAGAGGAATAACACAAGTCCCTGTCTATGTGGAGGACAGTAGAACAGAACAGAAAAACCTCTTCAGGACAGGCGAGGCTCCCTTACTCTTGCCTTCATCGTCATTCTCTACTGAGGGGCTTATTACTGTCTAAGCCTATACCTCTGGCTATTTTCAAGGAAGATTTATGAGTATCTTATTTGCTTTCTTATTAAAAAAAATCACAAGGAAGGTACTATATTTCAAAACAAATAACTCCCACCTCAATTTTGCCATAAAACAGCAAAAAATGAAAACAGGTTTTTGGAGGTGGATTTCTGTGGCCATAGAGAAGTTTTCTGAGCCAAGTTGTGTGAATTTCTGGGAAATGAAGTCTCAGACAGACAGAACTGTGGTTTCTCCACCCCACTCTCCATCTTAGGGAGGACAAGGGCTTTAGATTCCACATGATCATGATCACATGGTGGCCAGAGGGGAGGGCGGGGTGAAATGCCTTTCTCCCTCACCCCCCAATACAGGAGAGTTGAAGGAGGGGAGGGAGATAGAAGCCTTCTTCTTTTTAATTAATATTCCCTGCACCACCTACCTGCCCCATTGAGCTCAATATTAATAATAATATATTAATTGCTCCCAAACTGTGTACTATGGAAGGCAGCGTGGTACAGTGGAAGGATTTGGAGGGGGAAGAGAACTATATTCAAATCCCTCTCCTGTCACTTATTA